TAGTGTCCATGTGGGATGATGGGAAAGAGAGATATAGTGTGCACAACGATGGAGTCGATGTATAGTCATTCGCCCATTGTACCCGTTATAATTTTTCCAAAGTCTTTCTATACGGTCACTGCAATCGTTCCTGCATCAACTGTTTGCATGTCGGATGCAAGACTGCAGAGTTACAGTGTGATCATAGTCGAAGTTTCTTGTTCTCCAAGTTGTGTTCCTTATACCCGCTTAGGAATCGTCTCAAATGGGCATTGGGAACTCGTCTGCTTCAATAGTATCCATGTGAGATGATAGGATAGAGAGATAGTGTGTGCACTCCGATGGAGTCGATGTATCTTCATTTGCCTATTGAACTCGTCTTCTTATACGGTCACTGCCATCGTATCTGCTTCAACTGTATGCATGTCAGATGCTTGACGGCAGAGTTACAGTGTAAACGGAGTCGTAGTCGAAGTTTCCAGTTCTGCGAATTGTGTGCCTTATAATTGCTCAGAAGTCGTCTTATATGTGCATTGCGAACTCGTTTGCTTCGATAGTATCCATGTGAGATGATAGGATAGAGAGATAGAGTGTGCACACCAATGAAGTCGATGTAACTTCATTAGCCTATTGAACTCGTTATATACCCTTCAGAGTCGTCTTATACGGTCACTGCCATCGTATCTGCTTCAACTGTATGCATGTCAGATGCTAGACTGCAGAGTTTTTGTGTAAACATAATCGTAGTCGAAGTTTCTTGTTCTGCAAGTTGTGTGCGTTATACGTTCTTGAAAGTCATCTAATATGGTCATTGTGAACTTGTCTGCTTCAATAGTGACCATGTAAGATGAGAGGATAGCGAGTTATAGTGTGCACAACGATGAAGTCGATGTATCTTCATTTGCCTATTGTACCCGTTGAAATCCCTTCAGAGTCGTCTTAAACGGTCACTGCAATAGTTCCTGCATCGAATGTATGCATGTCAGTTGCTAGACTGCAGAGTTACAGTGTGAACATGAACGAAGTTCCTTGTTCTCCAAGTCGTGTGCGTTATACCCGCTTAGAAGTCGTCTCATATGGGCATTGCGGACTCGTCTGCTTCTATAGTATTCTTGTGAGATGATGGGATAGAGAGATAGAGTGTGCACTTCGATGAAGTCGATGTATCTTCATCTGCCTATTGTACTCTCTATATACCGTCCAAAGTCGTCTTATATGGTCACTGCGATTATATCTGCTTGACTGTATGCATGTCAGATGCTAGACTGCAGAGTTTCTTCGAAAATATAGTCGTAGTCGAAGTTTCTTGTTGTGCAAGTTGTGTGCGTTATACCCTCTTGGAAGTCGTCTCATATGGGCATCGCGAACTTGTCTGCTACAATAGTATCCATGTGAGATGATAGGATAGAGAGATAGAGTGTGCACACCGATGAAATTGATGTATCTTCATTTGCCTATTGTACTTGCTATAAACCCTCTAAAGTCGTTTTTTGTTAATACGATCATATCTGCTTCAACTGTATGCATGTCAGATGCTAGACTGCAGAGTTACAGTGAAAAAAAAGTCGAAGTCGAAGTTTCTTGTTTCTGCAAGCTGTGTGCGCTATACCTTTCTGAGAGTCGTCTTATATATGGTCATTGCGAACTCGTTCGCTTCGATAGTGTCCATGTGGGATGATAGAATAGAGAGATATAGTGAATACGACAATGAAGTAGATATATCCCCATTCGCCTGTTGTACTCGTTATATTTCCTTCAAAGTCGACTAATACGGAAACTGCCATCGTATCTGCTTCGATTGTATGCATGTCATATGCTAGACTGAAGAGTAACAGTGCAACTATATCGAGGTAACGGACCGACTAGGTCGACGCCTAAAATCTCTCATGGTCGTGATACCGTAGGGCCAGCACTTAGCATCAGTCCCGCCGGTGCCTTCTGCTCAGGTTTGGTCTTCAGACACGTCTGGCATCTATTTATGTACCGCGCGACATCCTGACGAAGTTTGGGCCAGTAGAACTTTGTGGCTATCCGGGAACATGTTTTGAAGATTCCCAAGTGTCCTGACGTGGGAGGGTCATGCTTTCTCTAGATGATCTCCAAGCGATTTTCTTTCGGGACCACCAACAGCCATCCATCAGATTCTTTCGAGAGACCTGGATAAGGGACCTTGGTCTTTTTGAAAATACGCTCCCTCTCTATCCGCCAAAGGGGATAGCGATCAGGTCGGGCCTTCACTAGGGCGATCATACGCCGATACCATAAGTCCTTCGTGGTTGGTGGGGCTTCATCAGCTGGACCATCGACTGAGTCCACAACCGGAACGGCTCGCGATAGGGCATCTGGAACGCAATGTTCGCGACCGGGCCTATGGACTATATCGAAATCATATTATTGGAGCCGCACCGCCCATCTGGCGATCCTGCCAACCGGGTCCTTGATGTTATTAAGCCACTTGAGACTGTGGTGGTCGGTGATTACGCTGAACCTCGTTCCTTCTACATAAGGTCTTAGCTACTCAATAGCGAACAGCACCGCCAGGCATTCCTTCTTGGTGGTGCTGAACTTTCTTTCCGTGGCCGTTAACGATCTACTCAAGTAACAGATCACCTTCTCCCCTTCCTCGGAAGCCTGCGAGAGCACAGTCCCAATACCGTAGTCCGATGCGTCGGTTTGTATCACGAAGGGCAGCTCGAAGTTCGGACATGAAAGGACGGGCGCGGTGATCAAATGGTCCTTGAGAGTGCGGAAGGCCTGATCACAAGACTCACAAGACGAACTTCGAATTATTTTTCAGCAGCGCACAGAGGGGTGAAGTAAGGGAGGAAAAATTTGGCACAAAGCGCCTGTACCAGGAGGCCAGCCCGATAAGTCTCCTCACCTCGGTAACAGTACGTGGTGGAGGAATCTTAACGATTGCCTCTACCTTCTCTGGATCCACCATCAACTCTGATGAGCCTACGACATAGCCCAGGTATTTGAGTTCCGCCTTGCAAAAGTGACATTTATTCTTATTCAGCGTCAGGCCCGCGCCCGCAAGTCGCGCCAAAACCTCTGTCAGAATATGAAGATGTTTATCGAAGGTGTCTGTGCATATGATGACGTCATCGAGGTAGACGAAGACGTATTGTTCTAAATCTACCCCGATAACCCGATCGATGAACCTTTGCCATGTTGCAGGAGCATTGTGAAGGCCCATAGGCATCTGGGTAAACTGGAAGAGCCCCCGATTGGGTACAATGAATGCGGTCAGTGGTTTTGACTCGGCCGATAAGAGAATCTGCCAGTAAGCAGATTTGATGTCCAAAGTGGTCAAATAGTGCGCATCCCGTAGCTTATCCAGGGTAGCACTTACTAAAGGCAGAGGGTAGGCGTCTTGTTCCGTGACCTTGTTGAGCTGCCGGAAATCTACCACAAATCTGTAACGACCGTCATCTTCTCGCAGCAACAGAATAGGCGAGGCCCAAGGGGAGGACGAGGGCTCTACTACTCAGAGAGCATTTGATCCAACTCAAGATGCACCTGCTTCAGTAGTGCTGGAGATACCGGGTTATATCGCTGACGAAGAGGGGAAGAGGTAGTCTGGATGACATGAGAAACTAAGTTGGTACATCTTAGTTTAGTCCCCATAGAATGAAAAGTTGCCTCAATCAAGGCATCTAGCTGTCGGCGTTGAACGTCCGATAGGGTACTGATAGAATTCAGATACTGTGGGGCCGACTCCTCCTCCTCCGAGTTCCGGAAACTCCATTCCCCCGAGAACATGTCCGGAATGATTCGCATCCTTGACCAGAAGTCCATACCAAGTATAAGAGTATGTGGAAGAGAGGGAACTACCAATATCTCGAAAATTTCCACCTTACCACATAAGTTCACTGGAACAGCAATCATCCTCACTACGGGACAGCTGTGTCCATTAGCAACCGTGCATTGCTGCTCGGAAACCTCTTGTAGTCGACAGAACGGTTAAAGAATTTTCCAACCTCTCTCTCCCAAAACAGTGCGAGTACAGCCCGAGTCCAATAGGGATAGGAACTTTTGGCCCAAAATACCCACCGTCAGATATGGCCTCGTGTCACCCTTTGCGTGAGCGAGCACGTAATCGATGATTACGGAAGTTCTTTGATCGACCGGGAGGATCGTAGTGGAGAGGTCTACCCACCGGCCTACTGGGGACCTCTTCTCGAGTTTTTTGCGCAGTTGGGACATGAGTATGAGACTGTGTCCAACCGTCCGCACTTGAAGCAAAATTTCCGACGGGGCTGAGAGCATTGACGAAATTTATGTTCAGAACTCTGGCAGTTCCAACACTTCGCAGGCTGATTCGTCATCGCGTCGACGTTCAGATCACTTGAGGGGTTCGAACCAGGCATCGGGTGGCGGGAGGTAGTTGCTGAGGCCGTAGCCGCACCCTCACTTCGCACCGAAGAAAGTTGGTTTGGGGTTGTACGCAGGTAAGCCAACTCAGGTTCGAGAAGGTTACGCACATTCGTAGGGGGTGGAGTGAATTTGTCCACTCTCCACTCCGTCTCTTCAATTGCTCGACTGAGTCGAACCAGTTCCGCAATTGTGGTAATTCCACACAAAGAAAGCTGTTCCTGAATATGGGGCAACAGATTCCTCCTTATTAGGTTAACTCGGGTAGGTTCTGAGGGCAACCTGGGCATTTTCCTGAACATGTTTTCCATAATGGACACATAGTTCATAATCTTCTCCTGAGCACCCTGAGTTCTTCTTCTCAGTTCATCCCACAACCCATATTCATAGTCAAACGGTTGAAATGCCTCCCTAAATCGATCGGCCAGTTCATCTCAGGAATTAAACCGTCCAGTGCGGTACCAAAGGAGGGCCTCGTGTGTTAACAACTCCGGAGCGGACCGGAAAAGTCGATCTTTTGAAACCCCGCCGGACAACCGAAGCTCCTCTATCCGCTCAAGGAAATCGTTGACACTAGTCCTTCCATTGAACTGTACTCCCCAGCGATCTACTTGACTCCACTGCTCCTTGGCACGTTGCCGTACGTTGTTGCCGCTTTGGGGGGGCTGCAATCGAAGATTATAAAATTTATCGGCCAGTGTTGGGGAATAATCATCAGTCAAGTCATCCAGTTGTGATGACTGGTTTCTTGTGGCGAACCGGGTTGACCATGTCGAGTTGGCCAGAAACTGGTCCTCCTCCTCCGCAAACCTAACGAACATCGGGTTCCGACTCTCAGGCAGTACCGATTCTCTAAGGTGAGCCTGACTCTGGCTAGACGGATCCGGAGGATTGAGGGAATCAGCTCCCCGTGAAGCTTGTTGCTGGGGAGAAGGATAAGGGCCTGTCCGAGGGCCTGAGGAAGACGTGAACAAAGGTCCTCCTCCTCTGGATGGAAATCTGTCAACCACATCCCCTGACTTGATGCCACCTCCTCCATCTGTCAGATCAATGAGATCGTACGAAATGGAAGGCTCGAGAGGGAAGACCGTGTGCTCCACTGGGTTATCCTCGTCCAGTATAGACCGCGATCCCTGACCATTCGAGCTAACTCTCCCGTTCGTTCGTTGGCTAACTGATAACCCCTCAAAAGCTAAGTTCAGGTCTCCTATCATCTGTGAACATCTCTGGATGAGCTCGATCCTATAACCCTCTTGATCACCGTTGCCTCCCCTTAACCGTTGGAGACGGAGGGAGACATGTAGCAACCGCGAATAAATGCGCGCAAATTCGTTATCTCGGTTTGAGTGATCAAAACCCCTAATGGCCTGTTGGAGTTCCAATATCTTCCGTTCAGTTATCGAGATCTCATTATCTGGGTCTAACCTAATCGCCACTGGAGCATGAGTAGTATTTTGACGTTCCAGTCTGAATACCTCTCTCAACGCTGTTCTCTTTTCAGCCACATTGTTTCCTATCGGCAATCCTCGTATTTGGAGTTCGTATGTCAGTTCATCCCCCAAAAGACGATTAACTTCCATGATTGAAATTTTTTTTTTTTTCGTAAATTCAAGTAGTCCCAATTAGGAATTCTACGCAATTCGTAGATGAAAATAGTTGCTCGGGAATTAATTCCACGAAGTGAACCCAACCCCCACTAAGAACAACCCAACACCACCTCAAAGTAACCCCGTCTCCCGTTAACTATACTTTCGCGAAGAAAAGGAAACTATCCGAAATCTCCAAACTTCCTGAAAGATAGGTGAGAAAAAAAACTGTAATTATTTGTATATAAACCCTGTATAAATTCTTACCAAACCTCGAAAAAGCAAAAAGAACATACGAAAAATTATACCCTTAATATCTGAGAAAAGAAAAGTTACAATTTATGTACACCCTGTATATCTATATACTTTTTCCAAAAACCGGATATTGCGATCTCCTATATACCTCTCGTATACCAGACCTCGAATACCTTTGTCACCTATTGACCACAACACCTTGTGTAGGTATGACCTCAATGCTCTAAAATTATGAATCTAAAGCACGCAATGCTCATCTGCACCAACAACTCTGGAATCGTGGCAAAACCATCGGCGAAATCATACCATACCTGTCCGCTCAAGCTCAAGAAAATCCAAATTACTAACCGAAACGAGAGACAAAAATAAAAAGATAATGGCTAAGATAAACCTCAGTTGAGAGTTGCTTACTGATCACCCTGTATAAACAGATCCGAACACGTTGGGCGCCAATTTTGTTACCCCTCGGTACTCGAGAGGCAACAAAAAGATGGATTCTCGCTCGGGGAATCCCTTTTGTTGAGTTTCCGTATTTTCCTCGATTGGAAAATAGTTATTTAGAATACAGCTCAGGGAGAGGGGTGGGTAAAGTAAGTTGAACACTAAATTTCGTGAATGGCAACTCTCAAGTGACGTTTATTTAGTTTGATTTATTAATGATCTGAGGATCTAGCACGGAACCACAGAATAAAAAGGTCTGTTAATCTGTGACAGAACCACGAGTGGTCATCCGGCAACACTGCTCGTACACACGCTGACAAATGACAATTGCGATCCTTCAACTTCAACTGACTGTCACGTTCACGCATCAATTCATATGTCAAATCGCAAAGGTAACCATATTCTTGTAAACAACAATAATTAAACTTGATAAACATGCAAGAACAAAATAATAATTACGTGAGACAAATGATTTGGATGAACTATTCTTATGGTCCTATTCAATTAATAATCCAGCTCAAGGATCCAAGATAATGATGGCACTCTATATGAATTTCATGACATAACTCCTGTGCTGATTCTCCAACACTCAGTAATCAGGCCTATAGCTGAGCATCAATGAATCCAATGACCGCCCTACAGATATATACAGGATTCACTTTTATTCTCCTACATTGATATGAACATGGATAAAAAGTCCCAGCTGTTTTTGTTTCACACTTATAAATACCTTTGCTTAATTTGGAGTGAGCACCATCTATACTTAATTCTATGTGAGCACAAGATGTACTTATTCCTGAGTGAGCACAAGAGATACTTAATCCTGAGTGAGCACAAGATAGACTTAATACTAATTGAGCACAATATATCCTTAATACTGAGTGAGCACAAGAGTCATGCATGCAAAGCAAGAATGCAGTGTTACACAGGCCAATTAGCCAGTCTGCAACCTTCACCAGGTAAGGCAGCCAAAGCTGATAAATAAGAAAGATCTTACTTGTGATCAAGCATCCAGGGATGATATGCCAATGTCACTCCAACCCCGTTGCAGCTAGGATTGGTTAGCTTATACCTTGTAGATTTCTACATATAGGGACAATTTATATTGGTAGGGGTTTGGGGGATAGGCCACCAAAACCAGGGATGGTTTTAGGGTAGGCTCCAGGTCTTTTCAAAGCAGCTTCACAGGTACTGAAGGGTCAATAATAAGGCCTAAAATCATTGATTATGTTGGTAACCGGACTGACAAAAGGGAGGATTCCTGGGAGGCTTACCTTGGATGAAATGTGGCCTATCTGAAGGTTTCGACAAGAAACTGGTGAGTCAGGAGGAAAATATTATAAATCCACACTGTGTTGTGAAATAATCAACTTAATGATTGATTCTGCTAATATTTTCCAAGTTTACCTTTTTGGCTTTCAAATCTGCAAATTCTGCAATTTCCCAAGCACACATGCTATACTGGAGGTTAAAGCCAAAAAAAAAGGAATCCAGGTGACACCTACAATTTTTGGAGGCAAAATCCTCCCAATCCTAACCTTTCTCTCTCACAACTGCTTGTCAACCTGGTTCTCTTGTTGACAATGTCTTGATGATGGTTGTGTCTCCATACTGAGAACAAAAAAAGAAGGAGGGAGCAGAACCAGTGAGCAGAATATAATGAAAGAAGAACTGGCTGTGGTTCAGTCACAGAAGATGTTCTGCACTGGCAAGAGGTGAATCCATACTCATAACCTATCCTAACCAACCCAAAACGAAATAATCTGATGGATGTTATTCATAATTATTTCTGATTTTCAGGAATGAACCTCTTGAGGTGCAGGGTTACCATTGGCTGATGGAAACTGGCTACCCTGGATGGAACAGGCCAAAAGCCAGGAGTAGGGGACAAGCGGGTAAGTACAAAGCTCCTGGTAATCTCATTATCCTAATACATTGAATGATTTTAGGGGTTACTATCCTGCTGCAACGAGAAGAGCACTAATCCCAGAGCTGTTAGATACCGCAGGGTTACCATCTATATCTGTTGTTATAATATGATACTTGAAATAAAGATGCAAATGAGCGTAGGGCTTTGTATGATATATCTGAATCTGGCACCATTCTCTCATACAAATGCATTAATTAGTAGATTTCCCATTCAGATCAGAGCAAGTACTTTCGGATCGTAACATCATTGCGAACTTGTCTGCTTCAATAGTGTCCATGTGAGATGATGGGAAAGAGAGATATAGTGTGCACAACGATGGAGTCGATGTATAGTCATTCGCCCATTATACCGTCACTGCAATCGTTCCTGTATGCATGTCAGATGCTAGACTGCAGAGTTGCAGTGGAAAAATAGTCGAAGTCGGAGTTTCTTGTTTCTGCAAGCTGTGTGCGCTATACCTTTTTGGAAGTCGTCTTATATATGGTCATTGCGAACTCGTTCGCTTCAATAGTGTCTATGTGGGATGATAGAATAGAGAGATATAGTGAATACGACGATGAAGTAGATATATCCCCATTCGCCTGTTGTACTCGTTATATTTCCTTCAAAGTCGACTCATACGGAAACCGCCATCGTATCTGCTTCGATTGTATGCATGTCATATGCTAGACTGAAGAGTTACAGTGCAACTAGATCGAGGTAACGGACCGACTAGGTCGACGCTTAAAATCTCCCATGGTCGTGATACCGTAGGGTCAGCATTTAGCATCAGTCCCACCGGTGCCTTCTGCTCAGGTTTGGTCTCCAGACACGTCTGGCATCTATTCATGTACCGCGCGACATCCTGACGAAGTTTGGGCCAGTAGAACTTTGTGGCTATCCGGGAACATGTTTTGAAGATTCCCAAGTGTCCTGACGTGGGAGGGTCATGCTTTCTCTGGATGATCTCCAAGCGATTTTCTTTCGGGACCACCAACAGCCATCCATCGGATTCTTCCGAGAGACCTGGATAAGGGACCTTGGTCTTTTTGAAAATACGCTCCCCCTCTATCCGCCAAAGGGGATAGCGATCAGGTCGGGCCTTCACTAGGGCGATCATACGCCGATACCATGGGTCCTTCGTGGTTGGTGGGGCTTCATCAGCTGGACCATCGACTGAGTCCACAACCAGAACGGCTCGCGATAGGGCATCTGGAACGCAATGTTCGCGACCGGGCCTATGGACTATATCGAAATCATATCGTTGAAGCCGCACCGCCCATCTGGCGATCCTGCCAACCGGGTCCTTGATGTTATTAAGCCACTCGAGACTGTAGTGGTCGGTGATTACGCTGAACCTCGTTCCTTCTACATAAGGTCTTAGCTTCTCAATAGCGAACAGCACCGCCAGGCATTCCTTCTTGGTGGTGCTGAACTTTCTTTCCGTGGCCGTTAACGATCTACTCAAGTAACAGATCACCTTCTCCCCTTCCTCGGAAGCCTGCGAGAGCACAGCCCCAATACCGTAGTCCGATGCGTCGGTTTGTATCACGAAGGGCAGCTCGAAGTTCGGACATGAAAGGACGGGCGCGGTGATCAAATGGTCCTTGAGAGTGCGGAAGGCCTGATCACAAGACTCACAAGACGAACTTCGAATTCTTTTTCAGCAGCGCACAGAGGGGTGAAGTAAGGGAGGAAAAATTTGGCACAAAGCGCCTGTACCAGGAGGCCAGCCCGATAAGTCTCCTCACCTCGGTAACAGTACGTCGTGGAGGCATCTTAACGATTGCCTCTACCTTCTCTGGATCCACCATCAACTCTGATGAGCCTACGACATAGCCCAGGTATTTGAGTTCCGCCTTGCAAAAGTGACATTTATTCTTATTCAGCGTCAGGCCCGCGCCCGCAAGTCGCGCCAAAACCTCTGTCAGAATATGAAGATGTTTATCGAAGGTGTCTGTGCATATGATGACGTCATCGAGGTAGACGAAGACGTATTGTTCTAAATCTACCCCGATAACCCGATCGATGAACCTTTGCCATGTTGCAGGAGCATTGTGAAGGCCCATAGGCATCCGATTAAACTGGAAGAGCCCCCGATTGGGTACAATGAATGCGGTCAGTGGTTTTGACTCGGCCGATAAGGTAATCTGCCAGTAAGCAGATTTGATGTCCAAAGTGGTCAAATAGTGCGCATCCCGTAGCTTATCCAGGGTAGCACTTACTAAAGGCAGAGGGTGGGCGTCCCGTTCCGTGACCTTGTTGAGCTGCCGGAAATCTACCACAAATCTGTAACGACCGTCATCTTCTCGCAGCAACAGAATAGGCGAGGCCCAAGGGTAGGACGAGGGCTCTACTACTCCGTCAGAGAGCATCTGATCCAACTCAAGATGCACCTGCTTCAATAGTGCTGGAGATACCGGGTTATATCGCTGACGAAGAGGGAGAGATGTAGTCTGGATGACACGAGAAACTAAGTTGGTACATCCTAGTTTAGTCCCCATAGAATGAAAAGTTGCCTCAATCAAGGCATCTAGCTGTCGGCGTTGAACGTCCGATAGGGTTCTGATAGAATTCAGATACTGTGGGGCCGACTCCTCCTCCTCCGAGTTCCGGAAACTCCATTCCCCCGAGAACATGTCCGGAATGATTCGCATCCTTGACCAGAAGTCCATACCAAGTATAAGAGTATGTGGAAGAGAGGGAACTACCAATATCTGGAAAATTTTCACCTGACCACATAAGTTCACTGGAACAGCAATCATCCTCACTACGGGACAGCTGTGTCCATTAGCAACCGTGCATTGCTGCTCGGAAACCTCTTGTAGTCGTGTAAGGGTATCTACTCTGAGATATCTTCTTGGTGCAATAAAGCGGGTTTAACTATTAGCAATTATTTACAACTCGGGCGCCACCTTTTTCATAGTGGTAGGTCCACTCGCACCGGGCAACTTCCAGTGGAGAAAGTATAATCCAGTGGTCTGAGATTTCAACTGTCAAAGTGACATAACTTTTGTAAAGCTTATCTCCCGGATTATAAGTTGCACCAATAATGATTGAAATAAAACTCAATAATATTTTCCAACTATGTATTCTAAATTAATCTTTACAAATTACTTATATTACTTATCTATGAAACTTATTTACAATATATACGAAACTCGGATGCTATGATCAATACCTCTCTCGAGACATACGGTATTTAGGCAGATTCAGATTGCAAGCTCGCGGTTATTCAAAGCAACTAAGCTATATCATTCCAGTCTAAAATGTTAAGAGCAAAACAAGCAGCACGCCTCAATTCTATTACATGCAATATCTAGCATACCGGGGATACCCACTGAGTATGCATGCACGCAGGCTATCTATCGTGCACCCCAAATGATCAGGTGATACACACTTAGATCATGACGGCTGAAAGAGAACAATATATTGAATACACAACAATATCCTGCATACAGGGGATACCCACTGAGTATGCGTGCACGCAAGCTATCTATCGTGCACCTCTAATGATCAGGTGATACACACTTAGATCATGACGACTGAAAGAGAACAATATATTAAATACACAACGATATCCTGCATACCAGGGATTCCCACTTAGTATGTCTCTCTTCTCGCCTCACCTAATGCTCTTCTTCTCCTTTACTCTCTGGTCGGTCGGTCGGTCTGGTCTCGTCTGCTGTCGTGGCTGTCTGGTCTGTCGCTCTTGAGGAACTGCTCTCCTGGTCTGCAGTCCTCAGGCTTCTAGGCGGCTCTCCCCTCTCCGTTGGTAGCTCTCGGCTGGCTTCGGTGTCGGCTCGTCCTTGGTCTCGCTGGTCTGCTGCCTTCGCGTGTATAGCCGGCTGAGCGCACAAGCTATACTGATTTTCCGTATCGCTATCTGAGCTACGGCGGCACGCGAGACGAGGTTCCACCACTCTACTTGAATAGTGGGGCGCGCACGCTATACGTATACCTAGGCGGATATCGGTCTCAACTCCATTCGGCGCTTTATTAATTATCCACCCAAAATTATTATAATCAATCAAAACTAAATAACGGCTGTTGATATCTATGAATATATATGAAGTATTCACGAAAGAAGAATGGTGTTTCTAGCTGACTATATACAAAAGTTCGTAACCATTATACCGTATGTCTCATATAAAACTAAAAATTAAAAGTAACTTCGTTACAGTCGACAGAACGGTTCAAGAATTTTCCAACCTCTCTCTCCCAAAACAGTGCGAGTACAGCCCGAGTTCAATAGGGATAGGAACTTTTGGCCCAAAATATCCACCGTCAGATATGGCCTCGTGTCACCCTTTGCGTGAGCGGGCACGTAATCGATGATTACGGAAGTTCTTTGATCGACCGGGGGGATAGTAGTGGGGAGGTCTACCCACCGGCCTACTGGGGACCTCTTCTCGAGTTTTTTGCGCAGTTGGGACATGAGTATGAGACTGTGTCCAACCGTCCGCACTTGAAGCAAAATTTCCGACGGGGCTGAGAGCATTGACGAAATTTATGTTCAGAACTCTGGCAGTTCCAACACTTCGCAGGCTGATTCGTCATTGCGTCGACGTTCAGTTCACTTGAGGGGTTCGAACTAGGCATCGGGTGGCGGGAGGTAGTTGCTGAGGCCGTAGCCGCACCCTCACTTCGCACCGAAGAAAGTTGGTTTATGGTTGTACGCCGGTAAGCCAACTCAGGTTCGAGAAGGTTACGCACATTCGTAGGGGGTGGAGTAAATTTGTCCACTCTCCACTCCGTCTCTTCAATTGCTCGACTGAGTCGAACCAGTTCCGCAATTGTGGTAATTCCACACAAAGAAAGCTGTTTCTGATTATGGGGCAACAGATTCCTCCTTATTAGGTTAACTCGGGTAGGTTCTGAGGGCAACCTGGGCATTTTCCTGAACATGTTTTCCATAATGGACACATAGTTCATAATCTTCTCCTGAGCACCCTGAGTTCTTCTTCTCAGTTCATTCCACAACCCATATTCATAGTCAAACGGTTGAAATGCCTCCCTAAATCGATCGGCCAGTTCATCCCAGGAATTAAACCGTCCAATGCGGTACCAAAGGAGGGCCTCGTGTGTTAACAACTCCGGAGCGGACTAGAGAAGTCGATCTTTTGAAACCCCGCCGGACAACCGAAGCTCCTCTATCCGCTCAAGGAAATCGTTGACACTAGTCCTTCCATTGAACCGTACTCCCCAGCGATCTACTTGACTCCACTGCTCCTTGGCACGTTGCCGTACGTTGTTGCCGCTTTGGGGAGGGGGGCTGCAATCGAAGATTATGAAATTTATCGGCCAGTGTTGGGGAATAATCATCAGTCAAGTCATCCAGTTGTGATGACTGGTTTCTTGTGGCAAACCGGGTTGACCATGTCGAGTTGGCCGGAAACTGGTCCTCCTCCTCCGCAAACCTAACGAACATCGGGTTCCGACTCTCAGGCAGTACCGATTCTCTAAGGTGAGCCTGACTCTGGCTAGACGGATCCGGAGGATTGAGGGAATCAGCTCCCCGTGAAGCTTGTTGCTGGGGAGAAAGATGAGGGCCTGTCCGAGGGCCCGAGGTAGACGTGAACAAAGGTCCTCCTCCTCTGGATGGAAATCTGTCAACCACATCCCCTGACTCGATGCCACCTTCTCCATCTGTCAGATCAATGAGATCGTACGAAATAAAAGGCTCGAGAGGGGAGACCGTGTGCTCCACTGGGTTATCCTCGTCCAGTATAGACCGCGATCCCTGACCATTTGAGCTAACTCTCCCGTCCGTTCGTTGGCTAACTGATAACCCCTCGAAAGCTAAGTTCAGGTCTCCTATCATCTGTGAACATCTCTGGATGAGCTCGATCCTATAACCCTCTTGATCACTGTTGCCTCCCCTCAACCGTTGGAGACGGAGGAAGACATGTAGCAACCGCGAATAAATGCGCGCAAATTCGTTATCCCGGTTTGAGTGATCAAAACCCCTAATGGCCTGTTGGAGTTCCAATATCTTCCGTTCAGTTATCGAGATCTCATTATCTGGGTCTAACCTAATCGCCACTGGAGCTTGAGTAGTATTTTGACGTTCCAGTCTGAATACCTCTCTCAACGCTGTTCTCTTTCAGCCACATTGTTTTCTATCGGCAATCCTCGTATTTGGAGTTCGTATGTCAGTTCATCCCCCAAAAGACGATCAACTTCCATGATTAAAATTTTTTTTTTTTTTTTCGTAAATTCAAGTAGTCCCAATTAGGAATTCTACGCAATTCGTAGATAAAAATAGTTGCTCGGGAATTAATTCCACGAATTGAACCCAACCCCCACTAAGAACAACCCAACACCACCTCAAAGTAACCCCGTCTCCCGTTAACTATACTTTCGCGAAGAAAAGGAATCTATCCGAAATCTCCAAACTTCCTGAAAGATAGGTGAGAAAAAAAACTGTAATTATTTGTATATAAACCCTGTATAAATTCTTACCAAACCTCGAAAAAGCAAAAAGAACATACGAAAAATTATACCCTTAATATCTGAGAAAAGAAAAGTTACAATTTATGTACATTCTGTATATCTATATACTTTTTCCAAAAACCGGATATTGCGATCTCTTATATACCCATCGTATACCAGACCTCGAATACCTCTGTCACCTATTGACCACAACACCTTGTGTAGGTATGACCTCAATGCTCTAAAATTATGAATCTAAAGCACGCAATGCTCATCTGCACCAACAACTCTGGAATCGTGGCAAAACCATCGGCGAAATCATACCATACCTGTCCGCTCAAGCTCAAGAAAATTCAAATTACTAACCGAAACGAGAGACAAAAATAGTAAGATAATGGCTAAGATAAACCTCAGTTGAGAGTTGCTTGCGAACACGTTGGGCGCCAATTTTGTTACCCCTCGGTACTCGAGAGGCAACAAAAGGATGGATTCTTGCTCGGGGAATTCCTTTTGTTGAGTTTCCGTATTTTCCTCGATTGGAAAATAGTTATTTAGGATACAGCTCAGGGAGAGGGGTGGGTAAAATAAGTTGAACACTAAATTTCGTGAATGACAACTCTCAAGTGACGTTTATTTAGTTTGATTTATTAATGATCTAAGGATCTAGCACGGAACCACAGAATAAAAAGGTCTGTTGATCTGTGACAGAACCACGAGTGGTCATCCGGCAACACTGCTCGTACACACGCTGACAAATGACAATTGCGATCCTTCAACTTCAACTGACTGTCACGTTCACGTATCAATTCATATGTCAAATCGCAAAGGTAACCATATTCTTGTAAACAACAATGATTAAACTTGATGAACATGCAAGAACAAAATAATGATTACGTGAGACAAATGATTTGGATGAACTATTCTTATGGTCCTATTCAATTAATAATCCAGCTCGAGGATCCAAGATAATGATGGCACTCTATATGAATTTCATGACATAACTCCTGTGCTGATTCTCCAGCACTCAGTAATCAGGCCTATAGCTGAGCATCAATGAATCCTATGACCACCCTACAGATATATACAGGATTCACTTTCATTCTCCTACATCGATATGAACATGGATAGGAAGTCCCAGCTGTTTTCTTTCACACTTATAAATACCTTTGCTTAATTTGGAGTGAGCACCATCTATACTCAATTCTATGTGAGCACAAGATGTACTTATTCCTAAGTGAGCACAAGAGATACTTAATCCTAAGTGAGCACAAGATAGACTTAATACTAAGTGAGCACAATATATCCTTAATACTGAGTGAGCACAAGAGTCATGCATGCAAAGCAAGGATGCAGTGTTACACAGGCCAATAAGCCAGTATGCAACCTTCACCAGGTAAGGCAGCCAAAGCTGATAAATAGGAAAGATCTTACTTGTGATCAAGCATCCAGGGATGATATGCCAATGTCACTCCAACCCCGTTGCAGCTAGGATTGGTTAGCTTATACCTTGTAGATTTCTACATATAGGGACAATTTATATTAGTAGGGGTTTGGGGAATAGGCCACCAAAACCAGGGATGGTTTGAAGGTAGGCTCCAGATGTTTTCAAAGCAGCTTCACAGGTACTGAAGGGGTAATAAGAAGGCCTGAAATCATTGATTATGTTGGTAACTGGACTGACAAAAGGGAGGATTCCTGGGAGGCTTACCTTGGATGAAATGTGGCCTATCTGAAAGTTTCGACAAGAAACTGGTGAGTCAGGAGGAAAATATTATAAATCCACACTGTGTTGTGAAATAATCAACTTAATGATTGATTCTGCTAATATTTTCCAAGTTTTCCTTTTTGGCTTTCAAATCTGCGAATCCTGCAATTTCCTAAGCACACATGCTATACTGGAGGTTAAAGCCAAAAAAAAAGGAATCCAGGTGACACCTACAATTTTTGGAGGCAAAATCCTCCCAATCCTAACCTTTCTCTCTCACAACTGCTTGTCAACCTGGTTCTCTTGTTGACAATGTCTTGATGATGGTTGTGTCTCCATACTAAGACCAAAATAAAAAAGGAGGGAGCAGAACCAGTGAGCAGAATATAAAGAAAGAAGAACTGGCTGTGGTTCAGTCACAGAAGATGTTCTGCACTGGCAAGAGGTAAATCCATACTCAAAACCTATCCTAACCAACCCAAAACAAAATAATCTGATGAATGTTATTCATAATTATTTCTGATTTTCAGGAATGAACCTCTTGAGGTGCAGGGTTACCATTGGCTGATGGAAACTGGGTACCCTGGATGGAACAGGCCAAAAGCCAGGAGTAGGAGACAAGCGGGTAAGTACAAAGCTCCTGGTAATCTCATTATCCTAATACATTGAATGATTTTAGGGGTTACTATCCTGCTGCAACGAGGAGAGCACCAATCCCAGAGATGTTAGATACCGCAGGATTACCATCTATATCTGTTGTTATAATATGATACTTGAAATAAAGATGCAAATGAGCGTAGGGCTTTGTATGATATATCTGAATCTGGCACCATTCTCTCATACAAATGCATAAATTAGTAGATTTCCCATTCAGATCAGAGCAGGTACTTTCGGATCGTAACATCATTGCGAACTTGTCTGCTTCAATAGTGTCCATGTGAGATGATGGGAAAGAGAGATATAGTGTGCACAACGATGGAGTCGATGTATAGTCATTCGCCCATTGTACCCGTTATAATTTCTCCAAAGTCTCTTTATACGGTCACTGCAATCGTTCCTGCACCAACTGTTTGCATGTCGGATGCAAGACTGCAGAGTTACAGTGAGATCATAGTCGAAGTTTCTTGTTCTCCAAGTTGTGTTCCTTATACCCGCTTAGGAGTCGTCTCATATGGGCATTGGGAACTCGTCTGCTTCAATAGTATCCATGTGAGATGATAGGATAGAGAGATAGTGTGTGCACTTTGATGGAGTCGATGTATCTTCATTTGCCTATTGAACTCGTCTTCTTATACGGTCACTGCCATCGTATCTGCTTCAACTGTATGCATGTCAGATGCTTGACGGCAGAGTTACAGTGTAAACGAAGTCGTAGTCGAAGTTTCATGTTCTGCAAATTGTGTGCCTTATAATCGCTCAGAAGTCGTCTCATATGGGCATTGCGAACTCGTTTGCTTCGATAGTATCCATGTGAGATGATAGGATAGAGAGATAGAGTGAGCACACCAATGAAGTCGATGTAACTTCATTAGCATATTGAACTCGTTATATACCCTCCAGAGTCGTCTTATACGGTCACTGCCATCGTATCTGCTCCAACTATATGCATGTCAGATGCTAGACTGCAGAGTTTTTGTGTAAACATAATCGTAGTCGAAGTTTCTTGTTCTGCAAGTTGTGTGCGTTATACGTTCTTGAAAGTCCTCTAATATGGTGATTGTGAACTTGTCTGCTTCAAAAGTGACCATGTAAGATGATAGGATAGCGAGTTATAGTGTGCACAACGATGAAGTCGATGTATCTTCATTTGCCTATTGTACCCGTGAAAATCCCTCCAGAGTCGTCTTAAACGGTCACTGCAATAGTTCCTGCATCGAATGTATGCATGTCAGTTGCTAGACTGCAGAGTTACAGTGTGAACATGAACGAAGTTCCTTGTTCTGCAAGTCGTGTGCGTTATACTTGCTTAGAAGTCGTCTCATATGGGCATTGCGGACTCGTCTGCTTCAATAGTATTCACGTGAGATGATGGGAAAGAGAGATAGAGTGTGCACTCCGATGAAGTCGATGTATCTTCATCTGCCTATTGTACTCTCTATATACCCTCCAAAGTCGTCTTATATGGTCACTGCGATTATATGTGCTTGACTGTATGCATGTCAGATGCTAGACTGCAGAGTTTCTTCGAGAATATAGTCGTAGTCGAAGTTTCTTGTTGTGCAAGTTGTGTGCGTTATACCCTCTTGGAAGTCGTCTCATATAGGCATCGCGAACCCGTCTGCTACAATAGTATCCATGTGAGATGATAGGATAGAGAGATAGAGTGTGCACACCGATGAAGTTGATGTATCTTCATTTGCCTATTGTACTTGCTATAAACCCTCTTAAGTCGTTTTTTGTTAATACGATCATATCTGCTTCAACTGTATGCATGTCAGATGCTAGACTGCAGAGTTACAGTGAAAAAATAGTCGAAGTCGAAGTTTCTTGTTTCTGCAAGCTGTGTGCGCTATACCTTTTTGAAAGTCGTCTTATATATGGTCATTGCGAACTCGTTCGCTTCAATAGTGTTCATGTGGGATGATAGAATAGAGAGATATAGTGAGTACGACGATGAAGTAGATATATCCCCATTCGCCTGTTGTACTCGTTATATTTCCTTCAAAGTCGACTCATACGGAAACTGCCATCGTATCTGCATCGATTGTATGCATGTCACATGCTAGACTGAAGAGTTACAGTGTGAACATAGTCGAAGTCAAAGTTTATTATTCTGCAGAATGTGTGCCTCATACCCGCTTGGAAGTCGTCTCATATGGTCACTGCAAACTTGTCTGCTTCGAGAGTGTTCATGTGAGGTGATAGGATAGAGATATATAGTGTGTACGACGTCGAAGTCGATGTA